CCCGGGTCCTCTCCAACGACCCGAATTAACCTTCATCTAGCCAGGCAGCGAGGCCGCCCGGCATAACCCGGAAAAGAGGGCAGGAAAAGTGAAATGAGTGACAAATGCTTGGCGCTCCTCCGCCGACGCGGCGCCTACTCATCCCCATCTCCGCAGGCAGCCGGGGTGGCTATGGCGTGACGCTGCCGACCGGTCCTCCGTACTAACAGGTGTCCCCCCGTCTTTGCCTTTCAGCGTTTAACCTTCTCGTGCCCTCCTTCCCCATTCCCACTGTCGTAGGAGGCAAAAAAACAAGTCAGCAGTTGTACTTGGAAGAAAGGAGGGCGGCCTGACCGCGAGAAGGCTGGCTGTGGAAGGGCGCCTGCACCGTTCTGCAGGACCAAAGATACAGCCAGCTAGGCCGCAAAGCCGGGGCGTCGCGTAGCCAGCGGCACCGACCAGAAGCGCGGCGGGGAGGCCGGGGCCCAGTGCACATACTCACCAAATCTGGAACTTGAGCAGCGGCCCCGTGGCGTACTGCATCTTTAATCTCTTGCTGGGCATGCCGCCCAGGTTGGCCGAGGCCTCGCTCCGGACCACCGCCGACGCCGCCACCAGGAGAAGCAGCAGAAGCCTCATCTTAATTGAGACAGCCGCTTCAGCAGACCTCAGAGTGATACTGCAGCCAGCCCAAAGCCCAGGCGCAAGCTCCTCCTCACTGCGCAGGCGCGATTAGCCAAGGTCGGGGGGGAGGGGAACAGGAATGCGCCTGCGCGACCCGGCGCCTGCGCACACTCCTGGAAAGAAGAGCCGACCTGTTTCACCGTCTCGACTCACCGCCATGTTGGCAGTGTGTCAGACTGTGGGACGGCGTGAGAAAGGCAGACAGGGAGCAAAGTTGCTGGTGGGGTGTCACACGGCCTATATATGAGGCAGATTTGAGTTCTGCATCCAGTTTTAGCAATTTATCCGTTTATCTGCCCAAGACACTTGGAAACATCTACTTGACAGCCCTGATTCCAGTATTGGCGGATAGAAGGGAGGAGACTCCTGACCCTCAGGATAGTAATGCCGAAATTTTTGGGGTGCCCTGTTATGGCCTTTTCTTTGATCTTACAATATTGTTTTCTCTTAATAACATAAGTTTTTAAAAAACCTTTGGCCGGGCGCTGTGGCTCATGCCTGTAAATCCCAGCACTTTGGGAGGTCGAAGTGGACAGATTACAAGATCAGGAGATGGGGACCATCCTGGCCAAAATGACGAAACCCCGTCTTTACTAAAATACAAAAAAATTTAGCCGTGCTTGGTAGCGCGCACCTATAGTCCCAGATACTCGGGAGGCTGAGGCAGGGAATCGCTTGAACCAGCAGTGAGCTGAGATCGTGCCACTGCACTCCAGTCTCCGTTTCAGAACAAAACAAAACAAAACAAAACAACAACAACAAACTTTGGACAATTCCAAACATATACAAAAATAGAATAACCACCTTAGAAAGCTTTAACAGTTACTAACATTTTGACAATCTTCATTTCTGTATATCTCTAAACACTACTTCCCTTACTAGTCATAGTTGGAAGCAAATCTCAGACATCCTATAATTTCATCTATCTATCTCTCTATCTATCTATCTATCTATCTATCATCTATCTATCTATTTTTTAACACGGTGTCACTGTTACCCAGGCTGGAGTGCGGTAGCATGATCATAGCTCACTGCAGGCTGAAACCCCTGGGTTCAAGCAATCCTGCCTCAGCTTCCCAAGTAGTTGGGAATACAGGCACAGGCAACTACAACTGGCTTACAATTATTTAAGCATATACTTCTAAAAAATAACTATTATTTGAAAAAAAAAAGACTACAGTATCACTATCTCACCTTTAAAAAAATAGTAATTGCTTAATATTAGACAGTGTTCAAATTTATCCTGTGGTCTTAATAACTACTTATTTTCCTACTGTTCATTTGTTCAAATCAAGATCAAAATGAAATTTATACATTGTCATTGGTTGATATGTCTTTTAGGACCTGCCAAAGACTAAGACCAAAAACACACTAGCAATTGAACAATTTTGTTTATGATTAATTGCAGCAAAAGGGATGCTATGGTTTGAATATGTCCCCCAAAAAGCATGTCTTGGAAATTTAATACCCATTGTAACAGTGTTGGGAGGTGGCGCCCAATGGGAGATGGGGCCTAATGGGAGGGCTCCACCCTCATGAATGGATTAATGCCAAATATGCAAGGGTTTAAGTCTTCGATTTCTACCTGTTGCTCTTTCACTCTTGCACTCTCTTGCACATTTACCTTCCACCACTGGATGATAGAACACAAAGCCCCCATAAGATGTGAAGTCCTTGATCTTGGAATTTCCAGCCTTCAGAACTATCAAATAAATCTCTGTCTTTATTAATTACCCAATCTCAGTTATTCTGTTACAGCAGTCCAAGATGGACTAAGACAGGAACGCACACCACGGGAAACCATGAGAAGACTTAATAAGGAGGTGTCAGGATCTGGAACTTGATTGGATGATTTGGAAAATGGAACTGGGGTGCTGAGCGGTTCTACCGTCAGAGGTGTTCAAACTAGAGTGAGTTCATCTTGTGTAGGGACTGGGTAAAATGAGGTGGAAACATGCTGGACTGCATTCCCAGTCTGGAGTGCAGTGGCACGATCTTCGCTCACTGCAACCTCAGCCACCTGGATTCAAGCAATTCTCATGCCTCAGCCTCCTGAGTAGCTGGGACCACAGGCACATGCCACCATGACCAGCTAATTTTTGTATCTTTAGTAGAGACGGGGTTTTACCATGTTGCCCAGGGTGGTCTTGAACTCCCAGTCTCAAGTGATCCGTCCACCTCAGCCTCCCAAAGTGCTGAAATTATAGGCATAAGCCACTGTGCCTAGCCTTGCTTAGGTTTTTCTGTTACCATTCCCACCTCCAACTTCTAAACAGAATTATAGACAAGGCAATACTTGCAAGTTCAGATAGTAGACTGTCTGTGTCTGGGAGGCCATTACACAGAGGTGAGAACCCTAACCAGCAAGTTGTTTAGGCCAGCGAGCTTAAAAAGTAAGGGCCAAACCTCTGTACGAGGTAGGGGCTAGTGTAAGAGCCTATGATAAATTCTGGAACGAGGACTTTTGAAATCCAGTTATCTAAAAAACACAGAGCTCAAATGTAAGAACAAACAAAATCATAACTAGCATCAGGTTGCTTTGCACAAGCATCAGAACTAATGCTGTATGATACTGTTTTTTACTCACTAAAAATAAAAGTGAAAAAGACTAATGATGTATACGTGGTTTTATTTTGCAGGTTTTAAGTTTTAGTTGCTGTGCTGGAGGCATAGTAGGATATGCCCAAGTCACCAGCCCCTCCATAAAAGTCTCAGACCCTGAAACTCAAAGGGGCTTCCCTGGACAGCACATACCACACATTCACTGCCAGAGAGAGAAAGAGAGAGCGAAGGAACCCCTGTGTAGTCCCCAGTGGGAAATGCTGAGGAAGCCTGTGCCTGGCCTCTCTGAACTCCCTTGAGGCATATCATTTTCCCACTGCTTTTGCTCTGTAACCTTTGCTATAATGAGCCTTACTATGAATATTATTTGCTGTTCCATCTTGTGAGTCCTTCTACCTAATCACTGAACTTGGGTCATTAGACCTCTGAAACAGAGGGCATGGGAGGAGTTCAGGGAGTACAGGATAGAGGAGGACCTGGTGAGCCTAGGGCCTTGGAAGAAGCTGATCAGGAAAACAAAATATATTCATTTATCAAGTTTTAATAATTGTGAGAGAAAAAAAACTGTACTCAGTTTTGGTGATATTGTGGGGAAAAGGGTCATTTTATTATACTAACTTGGGAAAATGTCAGTCCAGTTTTTTGGAGCTATAATTGTCAACATAAACCCAAAGCCTTAAAATGTACATGAACCTTGACCCAGCAATTCCACTTCTAAATCTAACCTAGAGAAATAATAATGTATAGCTAAAGACTTTAATTACAAAAATGTTCATCAGAATGTTATTTTATAAATTTATAAATCAGAAACAATCTCAGTGTCCAACACCAAGTTAAATAAATCATGGTTTATTAATTTGGTGGCATTTTAACAACCATTAAATGACTTACAAGTTTTTATATATGTGTAAGCTATATGCAGAATAATATACAAAGAACCAAAAAGTGGTTGATTCCTGAGAGAACAGGCAACAAAGCAGCTAGGGAACAGAGATGGCAGAGAAGTCATTCTTATGGCATAAGCAACTTTTGTATTTAAAAATTTTGTCCTGTTGTCATGTTACACTTATTCAAAAAGCAAATAAAATAAACATTTTAGAATTCAATGAAAAATAAAGTGCTCAACATAGAGTGTTAAGAAAAAAATTGGGCTGGGCGTGGTGGCTCACGCTTGTAATCCTAGCACTTTGGGAGGCCAAGGTGGGTGGATTACCTGAGGTCAGCAGTTCAAGACCAATCTGGGCAACATGGTTGAACCCCGTCCCTTTAAAAAAAAAAAAAAAAGAAAGAAAGAAAGAAAAAAACTGGATTATGAAACAGTAAAGTGTTACTATATTATTTATATATTTTTTAAAGTACATAAAAAGGAAAATATGGATAAAAATGTTTTGCTTGGCTATATTTCCTGCTAAACATATGGTATTTTGGTAATAAGAAAAAAAAGATAGCTGAGCATGGTGGCACACACCTGTGATCCCAGCTGCTCAGGAGGCTGAGGTGGGAGGATTGCTTGAGCCCAGGTGGTCGAGGCCACAGTGAGCCAATGACTGTACCACTGCACTCAAGCCTGGGTGACAAAGCAAGATGCCATCTTTTTTTTTTTTTTTTTCAGGTTTTCATCTTTTTATTTATTTATTCATTCGAGACAGGGTCTTGCTCTGGTGCCCAGGCTGGAGTGCAGTGGCGCGATCTCAGCTCACTGAAGCCTTGGACTTCGGGGCTGACGCATCCTCCCACCTCATCCTCCCGGGTAGCTGGGACCACAGGCACCACCACCACGCCCAGCTAATTTTTGTATTTTTGGTAGAGCTGGGGTCTCCCGATGCTGCCCAGATGACACGGTTTTATTTAAGTGAATCATTTCCCTTTGGATTTCGTGGTGAGGTCCACGCAGGCAAAGTGAAACCACTCAGTTGGACAGTCTGGATTGTCACAGCCGATCATCTCCCCGTAGGAGACCTGGTGGCACAGGCAGTAGGTGGGTTCGTTGGGGTCCACGGGCATGTCTAGCACGTCGGACAGGTGCACGGACAGGATGGCGTCAGTGAACTCAGACCCTCCTTTATGCTTCTTTTTCTTTGGTGTGTCTTCCTCTGATGTCCTCCTGCCTCGGCCCCGGGACCCTCTTTTTTCTTTCTGACCCCGGCCTTTTTTCAGTCCTCGCCCTCCGGAGCCTTCGAAGTCACTGCCCTCCATCTTGTCCTTCAGATCAGCTTCGAAGCGTGCCAGGTCTGCGTCAAGCCTTCAAATGTGTTTATCCACCATCTCATAGGTCTGCATGGCCAGCTGCACTTTGTCATCATTGTATTCCTTGCACTTGCTGTAGGCGTTCTGGATCTTCTGCAGGCGCTCTACGCGCTGGTCTGGAGACAGCGTCTTCACCGTGGAGATGTACTCTGCAGCCAGGATGTCAATCTCTGCTTTCTTATCTTCCGTCCTCTGGTCCAGCTCTCGCATCAGCTGGAAGTTCCTCTGAAGTTCGCAGGGAAGGTTCTCGATGCTGTCCAGATAGTGCTCCAAGTACATGGCGGTCGCTATCTTCGTCCGCAGCTGCGCTCGGGGTCCAAGATGCCATCTTTAAAAAAAAAAATTTGGCCAGGCCGGTGGCACATGCCTGTAATCCCAGCACATACCAAGGAGGGGAAGATCACTTGAGTCCAGGAGTTCAAGACCAACTTGGGCAACATGGTGAAACCTTGTCTCTACAAAAAATATGAAAATTAGCCAGGCATGGTGGTGCACACCTGTAGTCTTAGCTACTGAGGAGGTTGAGGCAGAAGGATTGTTTGAGTCAGGGAGTTCAAAGCTGCAGTGAGCCATGATCACACCACTGCACTCCAGCCTGGGTGACAGCGAAAGATACTGTCTCAAAAAGTAGTAGTAATAGCAGAATAAACTGAATAAGCCTAACTGAACAAAGAATCTCAGTGCTCGACCAATTGTTCAAATCAACTCAGTCAAAAAAAAAAAAAAAAGAATTTTTTAAAATAAATAAAAATTTTAAAAGAAAAAATAGAGAAGTAGAAAACAAAAATCTCCTCAGGTCTTAGTGGCTCCCAGCTCAGAGCCAGCAGTCTTGGTGTGGTTGGCCACTATCTCTTCCTCTTCTAGGGAACAGGGGGATGTCTAGAAACAAACCAAAGAGCTTCTTGTAGGTCAGAGGGAGCTGGAATTTCAGTAGCTTCTATGCATGGTTGACTTTATGGGTATGTGACCTATGTAGTCACACAGGACCCTGCAGTTGGTTTAATGCTCTGTTGTCACAGATTTGAAATGCTTAATAATTTTGAATAAAGAACTTTGCCTTTTCATTTTGCATTGGGCGCTGCAATTATGAAGCCAGTCCTATTTATATGCCCAAGGCTGATCATTTCTCTACAACCATTAATATGACCAAACTGTCCATCTGAAATTCCTTGAAAAAGTTTTTCACTGCCAGTGTTTAAAATGCAAATGTCTGCTCGAACTTTGTGATCTAAGTGTATTATTTCAATCAATAAATTATGAGCCAGGCGTGGTGGCTCACACCTGTAATCCCGAGCTTTGGGAAACAGAGGAGGGAGGATCGCTTGAGCCCAGGAGTTTAAGACCAGCCTGGACAACATGATGAAACTCTATCACTACAAAAAAAAAAAAAACGTTATTTTTTGAGACAGTCTTGTTCATTGCCCAGGCTGGAGTGCAGGAGTGCAGTGGCATGATCTTGGCTCATTACAATCTCCGCTTCCAAGGTTCAAGCGATTCTCTTGCCTCAGCCTCTCGAATAGCTGGGATTACAGATCCGCACCACCACACCCAGCTAATTTTTTTGCATTTTGTAGGAGAGGTGGAGTTTCGTCATGTTGGTTAAGCTGATCTCCAACTGCTGGCCTCAAGTGATCCACCTGCCCCAGCCTCCCAAAGTGCTGGGATTGCAGGCATGAACCACCACACCTGGCCTACACTTTTTTTTTTTTTTTTTTAATTTAGCCAGGCATGGTGGCATGTACCTGTAGTTGCTGTTACTCAGGAGGCCGAGGTGGAAGAATTGCTGGAACCCAGGATGTTGAGGCTATAGTGAGCCATGATCATGCCACTGCAATCTAGCCTGGATGACAAACAAAGACCCTGTTTAAAAAAAAAAAAAAAAGTATGAATGTATTATTTCAGATGTGACTGGTGGAGTGGAAGAGGAGCCACAAGCTAGGGACTTCAGGTTCCCTAAATGGGGACCAGATGTCCCTGCTGAAAAGAGGGAAGAAGATGCAAAAACACAACAGAGTGGCCACAAAGATTCTCTCCAATGAGATCACAATTCTAGGATTTGCTCTTTAGCTTCAATGAACATAGTCAAACAAAACTGACTGGAGGTAATTTTGCCCAATAGTGTAAAGGCGAAAAGCTCTACTTTGCCAGGACTGAGACTCTAAAAATACAGCTGAATTTACTTTCAAAAGGAATTTGAGTCCTAAAAGTTTTATGGATGTATTCCCAATTACATAGTGCCTGATTTGCAACTACTCCCGGTGTAAATCCCTGGGTTACCCATTCCTGGGTTACCTGTTTTTCTCACTTCCAAGAGTACTCATTCCCAATTCTCCACTCGATCCTCAAACAAGAAACTGAGGAGGCGTCCTGGGTGATGGCTCCCACTCAGTTGCAATGTCTCTCCCTCACTGCCCCCTTTCCTTCCCTCTTTCTCTGTTCCTTTCATGTATATCTCTTTCTCCATAATGCCTTTCTCTCTTTCTCTCCTCATTTCCAGTTTTTGTTTAATGATCTTAGAAAAATCTGTTTTCCTTCTTTCCCTCCCATTATTTTGTTTGTAAACACTGGATGACCTCAATCATGGTTAAGCTTGAGAATGGTGAAATTTATACCAGGGGAAAGAGAAGATAAGCTTACATGCTTATCATAAAGAATCAGTATTTAAAGCACGAAAAGCATCCTTGGGAATCACCTAAAAATGATTTTCCTGTACTTTTTCCTTCATTTTACTCTGATTTTTCTAAAATAAAAAAAGTATTCAAACTTTCAACAAGAATTTTCATTCTATTTTCTAATTTCTTATTCTGGCACTAATTTTAAAATATTAAATAATTTTTAAAAGATAATTTTTGGGAGTTTTAGGTTCACAGCAAGATTAAGCAGAAAATACACATTTCCCACATACCTACTGCATGCATAGCCTCCTTACTGTCAGCATCCCCCACCAGAATGTGACAGTTGTTATAAAGGATGAACCTACCTTGACACATCATAATCAAAGTCCGTAGTTTACATTAGGGTTCACTGCTGGTGTTGTATATTCTATGGATTTGGATACATGTTTAATGACATGTATCCATTATTACAGCATAATACAGAATATTTTCCCTGATCTAAAATATTTTCTCTCCCCACTAATCCCTGGCAGCTGATCTTTTCATTGTCTCCATAGTTTTGTCTTTTTCAGAATATTATATAGTTGAAGTCATACAGTATGAAGCCTTTTCAGATTGGCTTCAGTTAGTAATATGTATTTAAGTTTCTTCTGTCTTTTCATGGCTTGATAGCTCGTTTCTTTTTAGTCCTAAATATATTCCATTGTCTGGATGTCTCATGGTTTATTCACCCATTGAAGGACATCTTGGCTGCTTCCAAGTTTTGGCTATTAAAAATGTTTGCTATAAATATATGCAAGTTTTTGTGTAGACTTAAGTTTTCCACTCCTTTAGGTAAATACTAAGGAGTGCTATGCTGCATTGTGTGTTAAAAGTCCAGTAAAAAACTATACTTTGTGTGATAAGAAACTGCCAAACTGTCTTCCAAAGAGGCTGTACCATTTTGCATTCCCACCAGCAATAAATGAGAATTCCTGTTGCTCCACATCCTCATAAGCATTTTTTTTTTTTTTTCGTTTTGGCTATTCTAATAGGTCTAAAGGGGAATTTGACTATTGTTTTAGTTTGTATTTCCCTGATGATGTATGATGTGGAGCATCTTTTCATGTGGTTATTTTCTATCTGTATATCATCTTTGGTGAGATGTCTGTTAAGGTCTTTGGCCCATTTTTTAATCAAACTTATCTTTATAAACAACTTTTATATGCTTTTAAACAAATGTTAAAATTCATTTATTTAAAGTTTAAAATTCACCTTTAATATATAAATTGGCAGGGCACAGGCTCACACCTGTAATCCCAGCACTTTAGGAGACCGAGGCAGGAGGATCACGAGATCAGGAGTTCAAGACCAGCCTGGCCAACATGGCAAAACCCTGCCTCTACTAAACATACAAAAATTAGCCGGGTGTGGTGACATATGCCTGTAGTCCCAGCTACTTGGGAAGCTGAGGCAGCAGAATCACTTGAACCCAGGAAGCGGAGGTTGCAGTGAGCCGAGATCGTGCCATTGCACTCCAGTCTGGGTGACACAGTGAGACTGTCTCAAAAAATGTGTTTGTGTGTGTGTGTGTGTGTGTGTGTGTGTGTGTGTGTGTGTATGTATGTATAAAGTTGTTTTCTTACTGTGGAGTTCTAAGATTTCTTTGTATATTTTGGATAATACCCCTTTACCAGATACATCTTTTGTAAATATTTTTGTGGCTTTTCATTCTCTTGAAAAATTAAGTAATTTTAAACTACTTTATTTTTTAAATTTTTTTGGAGAGAGTTTCATTCTTATTGTCCAGGCTGGAGTGCAACGGCGTGGTCTCAGATCACTGAAAGCTTTGCCTCCTGGGTTCAAGCAATTCTCCTGCCCTCAGCCTCCCTAGTAGCTGGGATTACAGGCTCCCATCACCACTCCCAGCTAGTTTTTTTTTTTTTTTTTAATGGAACGCTTCACGAATTTGCGTGTCATCCTTGCACAGGGGCCATGCTAATCTTCTCTGTATCATTCCAATTTTAGTATATGTTTTTTTTTTTTTTTTTTTTAATGGAACGCTTCACGAATTTGCGTGTCATCCTTGCACAGGGGCCATGCTAATCTTCTCTGTATCATTCCAATTTTAGTATATGTGCTGCCGAAGCGAGAATTAATTTTTTTTTTTTAAAGATGGAGTCTCACTCTGTCACTCAGACTGGAGTGCAATGGCGCGATCTCGGCTCACTGCAACCTCAGCCTCCTGGGGTCAAGCGATCCCCTGCCTCAGTCTCCTGAGTAGTTGAGATGACAGGTGCTTGCCACCACGCCTGGCTAATTTTTGTGTTTTTACAAAACACAAGGCAGGGTTTCACCATCTTGGCGAGGCTGGTCTTGAACTCCTGACCTTGTGATCCACCTGCCTCAGCTTCCCAAAGTGCTGCGATTATACGCGTGAACCACAGCGCCTGGACTTTTTTTTTTTTAATGAGCCTATACCCAGTTTTTGCATTTAAGGTTTTCACAGGCTTGCCTCAACACCAATGACAATTTATAATATTCTTTCAATGGGAAAATATTCCTCTTTGCAAATAGTTGACATAAATAAACAAACTGCTGGAAAGTGATTCATTTGCACCAATAAGAGACCACTATTACAGAACAAGTTTAGGAGGCGGGTGGGAGTAAGTGATGGCGAAAGGCTGAAGAGGGTTAATTCATGGAGTTTGATAATGAGAAAAGACAGACTGGACAACAGAGTAAGACCCTGTCTCTAAATAAATAAATAAATAAATAAACAAACAGCAGTAACCCAGGCTACTAAAATGGCAAGTGTTAAGTGAGTGAACATATTTTCCAGTTATGTTCTAAAATTTTGAATTCCTCATTAATTTCCCTATGCTCAAGATCTTTAGAACCCTCTAGTGGCCACATGAGGAATTGGCTTAGGTAAACCAAGTAAAAGCTTTTAATTTTTACATTCATGTAAAAAAAATTATGTATGTATATATGTATATTATATATAATTTATATATGTATGTAATGTATATATTATGTATATTTTATTTCTATATAAAATATATATTTATATTAATATAAATATAAAAATATAAAATATAAAACATATATATATACACACATATATAAATAGGCTGGACACAGTGATATATACACACATATATATAAATAGGCTGGACATTACTCACACCTGTAGTCCCAGCACTTCAGGAGGCCAAGATGGGTGGATTGCTTGAGCCCAGGAGTTTGAGACCAGCTTAGGCGACACGGCAAAACCCTGTCTCTACGAAAAATATTATAATTAGCTGGGCATGGTGGTGCATGCCTGTAGTCCCCGCTACTGGGGATGCTGGGGTGGGAGGATCACCTGAGCAGTGAGCTGTGATCATATCACTGCACTCCAGCCTAGGCAACAAGGGAAGACCCTGTCTTAAAATGTATACATATATTATAAAATATATTTTAAAAAAACTTTAGAAGTGTACTTGTCTGACTTCCAATTTAAGATCACAGACTAAAGGTTCAGAAACTGTATTAAAAACTCTAGAAAACAGAAAGTAGATGGATTCAGACTAACTGATTTACCTATTATTTTTACAACATAACAGGGGTGAAGTTTGGGGCTGGCGAAGTACTAGAGAGGTTTTAAGAACAAAACGGAGCATTGTGGAGGGAAGGAGTGGCCTATGAAACAGCAGCTCAAGTATAGCCATGTGCTACTAAACAGGGATAGGTTCTCAGAAATGTATCATTAGGCGATTTCCTCACTGTGTGAACATAGAGTGTACTTACACAAACTTAGATGGTATAGCCTATTGCTCCTAAGCTACAAACCTGTACAGTATGTTACTATATTGATACTCTAAGCAATGGTAATTGTCTATCTAAACATATGTAAACATAGAAAAAGTACAGTAAAAATATGGTATAAAAGATTTTTAAAAATGGGCCAGGTATGGTGGCCCACACCTGTAATCCCACCACTTTGGGAGGCTGAGGCAGGCAGATCATGAGGCCAGGAGTTCGAGACTAGCCTGGCCAACATGGTGAAACCCCATCTCTACTAAAAAATACAAAAATTAGCTGGACGTGGTGGCGGGCGCCTGTAATCTCAGCTACTCAGGAGGCTGAGGCAGGAGAATCACTTGAAGCCAGAAGGTAGAGGTCACAGTGAGCTGAGATCGTGCCACTGCACTCCAGCCTGGGCAACCGAAACTCTGTCTCAAAAAAAAAAGATAAAAAAATGGTACACCTATATAAGGCACTTAACTTGAATGGAGTTTGTGGGACTGGAAGTTGCTCTGGGCAAGTCAATGAGTGAGTGGTGAGTGAACATGAAGGCCAGGGGCATTACCGTACATCACTATGGACTTCATAAAAACTGTACACTTGGGCTATGCAAAATTTATAAAAATATTTTTCTTGTTTTAATAATAAATTAACCTTAGCATACTGTAACTTTTTAAACTGATGAAATTTTAACTTAAAAAAATAAAAAATAAAAAAACAAAAAAAAATTGACTTTATATAACTTTTGACTCATAATAATACTTAGCTTAAAACACACATTGGCCAGGCACAAGCCTGTAATCCCAACATTTTGGGAGGCTGAGGTGGGATGATCTCTTGAGTCCAGGTGTTCAAAACCAGCCTGAGCAACATAGTGAGACCCCATCTCTACAAACAGTAAAATAATTAGCCAAGTGTGGTGGTGTGTGCCTGTAGTC